AAGTTCGTTTGTTTGTTTATTAAATTTATATGCCACCCATCTCCCCCAGAGGGTGACTCTGGGTGGCTTACAATTAAAATCTGAAACAAAAACAATAAAATATAAAGATCCATATTAAGATAACTAATAACAATTCTATATAAAAAGCCTATATACAATTCAAGATGATGGAGGGGAGCAGTACTGATCATCCCACCCACCAATTCCAACAATGTGAGCCCGCATCAGGCCCCCAGGTCACCTGGCATAGCCATGTTTTCACACTTCTTCAGAAGGCCAGCAAGAGTGGGCGGGCCTGCACCTCAGGGGGTAAGCTGTTCCACAGGGTGGGGGCCATGGCAGAAAAGGCCCTCTTCCTAGACCCCACCAGCCGAAATTCCTTGACTGGTGGTGTCCGCAACATGCCCCTTCTGCCAGACTGAGTGGGGCGGGCGGATATAACGGGTGAGACAGCTCCTCGGATAACCTGGTCCTGTGCCATGAAGGGCTTTAAAGGTAATAACCAAGACCTTTAAAAGGGTTTGGACTATAATAATATTCTTTATAAACAGAATTAAATTAGCTTTATATACTTTACCTCAAATTCAAATCCAATATGATCTATTGGGATAGTGTATTTTCTGGCATAATTCTGTGAAACACCCGTCAAGAAAGATTGAGTAAAATAGAAACCGGAGATCCAAAATACATTTGGTGGTCCCTGTTTGATCCATTCCTGGGGTTAACACAAATTGACAAATATTTTTATTAAATGGAGCATCAAAACAACAACATCCCAGAATCCTGGGATGACTGAATTCCTAATCCTCTGACTGAAATGCCAGTTTGTAAGGATTAAGAATATTAACAGTGAGCCACAACTAGTTTAGCAGAAAATATCACTGACTTTCCAGATTGTAACATGCAAAAGACTTGAGAGGATGAAAAATCCAGGAATCAAATTGTTATATAGCATTTCAAAATATTTAATAATATTTAGCTATATTATAGCTGCTTAAGAATGGAGTTGGTTATATGAAAGGAACCCATATTTTGTTCCAACAGATTGAAAACCCATTAGCTAGGATAAATTTGACATACTTATGGTTAATTAATTATTGGTGACATTCACTTTTTCTCTCTCTCCCAAAATGGCAAACAAAGCCATCAGATCAACCCATTAATATCAGTTTTCTAAATGTACCAAATTCATATAACACACACACACAGTGCAACAATCATTCTAGCAAGGAATGGAGTCTCTGAAGCCCCCACTGGGACACATCATCATTTAATTGGTAGGAAATACGTTGATCATCATTCAGAAACCAGTGGGAGGGACTGCCAGCCCCTTAGGGAGTCTCTGCTTATGACCTGATAATCACCATTCTTCAGCATCATCAAGACCCCCTTTAGATCCTAGCCGTAAGCAGGTTCATCTAGGACACAACTGAGTTTTCCCCGCCAATATGAATGTTAAAGTAGCCAAACAAAATTAAGACATTTACATTATCATCAGATCATCTCCTGCACATTGGAGCTTCACCCAGACATCTAGAAATGCCCTTTCATTTGCTTACAATCCCCCCATCTTCATGTTGACCCCACGTAGAAGGAATCCTGTATTTATGCCCCTGAAATCTTGCATCTGTTTCTTTTCAGATACTGTTTGAGTTGCATTTGGATTTTAGCATGTTCCTATTAAAATACGACAGCACATCTCTAGTGTTTGTTCTTGTAATGGTATGTGGAAATGACCTTGAGAGACAGGAAGAAGAACCACAGCCTAGACAACGGTCCGATAAATGCAATCTGAGTCTGAAGGAGGGGTGGGGGTAGAGAAAGCATCTCAGAAGGGACCCTCCCTAGTTTTCTGAAGACTAAAAGTAAGGGAAGGGAGAGATACTTTCAGACGTGCAAGATTCTGTTACTGTAACCTTACAATAAAGGTAGCATTAGTACTCATGGTTGGTGCTTCTTGTCTGGCTGACTGTCAAAGGGCTGACAGTTCTCAACTGTATGTGATGATTTTGACAACAGTGTCAAATAAACCAACTTGAGAGTTTAAGGGTACCTGAAAAAAGGCCAACCGTGTGATTAAGTCAGTCACATAACTCCCCAGTGGTTTGAGTGATGGATAGGATTTGGCTGCCCACATAGCTGGCACTTTGCCCACAAGCATGCTGTTGAAAACATCCTCAAGTTCTGAAGACATCAACACCAGGCCTTTGATGGCTTTGCGGAGGCTGTTCAGACTGCTCCGGACAACTTCTGTAAGCCTGATTAGAACAAAATGCCAAAAATTAGACAGCTACTCTGTATCTCAAGGTATGTTGTGATTAGGAAGAGGAGGAAGCTGGAAAGAGTTGCAGCCCTGTCTTGTCCTTTTTCCTGCTCATTCACCTGGAAAGACAAAGAAACAAGTTGTAATGGCAAGGAAAAGAAGGGGCAGGGGCAGAAGTCTTCAGAAATTCATTGTCTCTTTGGCCACTTGCCCCTTCCCCAACTTCCTGTGGGCTCCAAAGCAGTGGATTACTCTCTAATCCAACATTTCTAAAGAAAAGCTAGCTGAAAAATGTTGTATTAAGCTAACAGTATAAACATCTGAAGTCTCCCAGATAAAGGCACATTCCTAATATTGGGATGAGATGAGCAATTTTGGTGTAGCTCTGTACCAGTGGTGTTTTATCCACGGATGGGGAAGTACCATTTGAAGGAACCAAAGGCCACTTCAGATAACAGCAATATGTCACTGCCTTGTGCTTGACAGAATGGTATCTGCTCACACTGGAGGGGATTCTTGGCCCAACCCATCTCTTACCTTACACTTCCTTGGAGCCCATCAGAGCAGTATGCTGGAGGGTTGGAAAAGGTGCTCAGATGTGGCAATGCCAGCAGCACACAAGCATTAGGCATTTAGAAGGCAGTGGAGGGCTACCATTACAGTGAGTGCAGGAATATGGGGAAATTTACCAATTGATTCTCTCTTCTTTTTGCGAAAAGTGGGAGAGAGGTGTGTTTAGGCACAGATCTGAGCGATGGAGACAGACATTCAATTAATAGCCAGGAACCAAACATTGATTAGTTGACAGTACTCTATGCTCAGCTATTGGCCAGAAATGCTGATTGACTGGTGGTTCTCTGTAAGTTCTGTAGACTCACGACCACACTTATACACCCCCATGCTTACAGAAAGGCTGGTTGTCTGAAATGTCCTAGAACTATGTCCTGTCACTGTCTGGTTTATGCTATGTAATCCAGCATTTTACCTGTTAAACCTGATCAGTTCTTGCCTAAGCACCGTGTTCATAGATTCCTCATAAAGTACTGGATACAGTTTCATCACATTTTCAAGGTCAAAATCTGCTGGCAGCTTGGAGAGGACATCCTGCGCCAATTCTTCAACTGTTTCCTGAAATTAGGAAATGGAATCATTGAGAAGTGAAATCATTTGGAAAATAACTAATCCTTTGGTACTTTTTATTTTATTTTACACATCTTCACATGGATTATTTTTCAGAATTTTGGGGAGGGTGGAGTTTAAAAAAAAAGGCAAAACTTTATGTCAATTTTTGTATTTTTAATTAACTGTCTAGCCTGCTTTTCTTCCAAGAGCTCCAGGTGGGTACACTGCACTCCTGCCTCTATTTGTCCCTACAATAGTACAATCATTCATTCATTCATTCATTCATTCATTCATTCATTCATTCATTCCATTTCTATCCCATCGCAATCAAAGTACAAAGTGGTTTGGTCTAAGAAAAAGTGCTTATTTATTTATTTATTTATCAAATTTATATAGCCGCCCATCTCATGAGAAGTGAGTCTGGGCAGCGTACAATAACCCACATAAAAACAATACCTATATAAAAAAGCAATTAAAAATATAAAAAGTCAACATTAACAAATAGAGATTAATTAAAACTAAAATATATAAATACAAACCCCAGGCAGAGAGAGAATAAGTACATCCGCCTCAATAGTGGAGCCATCTAGACTGATCTCCAGTTCCCTGGGAACCCCAGGCCTGGGGACATAACCAGGCCTTGAGGGACCTCTGGAACATCAAAAGGGATGGCGCTAACTTAATGTCAGTTGGGGGCAGGGGAGAGTGTTCCATAAGGCGGTGCTTGCCCTGTGTGCTGAACTGGGCTGAAAAAATAGAGGCTGCAGGTGTTGAGTAGCTGATACAAGAACAGCCAATGCGCCCAATATCTGCTGCAACAGCAATTGCTATACTCGAAGGATAAGGCCAGAGCTAATTTATGTATGTATTTGTTTTACAATATTTGTACCTGTGGAGACTTGCCTCCTCCTCCAGCTTGTCGAGGCAGGGTCAACAAGACCCCACTGAAAAGCAGGTTGGTCTCTTGGTTATCCTTCGTAATGTCGGCATTCTCGTGAAGCCCAAATATTTCAGGATGGGTTGAAATTGGCAGTGTTCTTAAATAATCTATGTAAGACTGGGACAAAACAAGGCATAACCCAAGTTGAGCCCTGAGACATATCTATATTTTATCAAGGACATTAAGAGCAGGTTTGGTAGATTGTCAGAAGATACTTTTTTAAAATCATGGTCCCTAATTGGTGCAGGCCGTGATTCTAATATCATTCACCCTCATCTTTTCTCACCTGGTATGTCCCATAGGGAGGTATATAATATTCCCCCCCAGGGGAAAGTTGATAGCATTCCTCTGTTTCAATCTCTTTGCAATATACTATGGAGAGAAGCGAGAGGAGGAGACGTCTGTCCTTGTCATCTGTCACCCTTCCACCATAATTACATTCTCCTAGAAACAGAAAGGTCACATCAGGAGAGCAAAGATAAGTAGATTTATACCTATGGGACACACACAGGTGTCATCAGGAAGATACCAGCTTGAAGAAGAATACAAAATACATGGTAGATCCCTCTAACTTTGTGGACATGGAGTCATACATCCTAAACCACAGCTTGTTTTACACACAGTGTGTTAAACAAACTTTAGTGGCCTGGCACTTAATACAGTAATGTTAAACTATGGGCTGTTTTTACTAACCTTGGTAAGAATCGACCACAGGAGGTTTGGACAAGACACTAATTTGCTAACCATTTAAAATACCAGTGGGTACCTATTTTTCTCCTCACTGCTGCACTAGAGGAGAGGAAGAGCTATTCTCATTCCTGTAACATTAAATCATGGTTTTCCATTATGTTAAAATGCTGCTATTGGCAGGGTTCACATACTGTGCTCAACATAATGTGAATTATTTGGTTTTGGCTTGGCCCAGTGTACAGAATTTGCTGTTGTTTTTAATAAACCATAGCTCATGGCTTAACATTAGTGTGAATGAAGCCATTGTAGGTTGTTCAATAAACCACGGGTACAACAGTGATATGCAAATCAAACCATAGTGTGCACCATACCTGTAAGATAAGTTAGAGCCTCAAATGGGGTTTCCTCATATTCATTCAGAAACATTTGAATCTGCCTCATGCTGATTCTAAGATCAGATTCGTTGAATTCATACGGAATATTCCAACCTGTCCAGTTCAGGAAAAAAAAGAAAAGTACAGGAAGCCTTATTCTGACACATCTGATGAAATGCAGCCCTGAAAATATGCTATAATAAATGAGTCAGTCTTTAAGTTGACACAAAACACTTCGTTGCTGTATTTGTATGACATGGTTCTTTTGGGAGAAACACTTATTAGCCAAGAGCACGTGGTCATGGGTGCCCCAGTCAAAAAAGGAACAACTGTCTGACAACAATCTCACTGCCAACAAAGCATTGATTCCATAATTTTTTAAAAAACAAAACTTGTCTGGGGAGATAAAAGAATAAAAATGAACATTACACCAATCAGAATCAACTCCCTGTATAGCCATCTCCACCTTTATCCTTGAGTCAATCTTTACCCCAATGGCCACAGGGGACAAGTGAAAGCTGAAATGGGGACAAAGACAAAATGCTTAAAGAAGTCTTGATTCTGGAAAACCCTTCCAGGACTTCCCTCTCTGTTCCTTTGGCAGGAAGGAAGTATTAACCCTAATTTGTGAGGAATTAATCTGAGGCGGCATTCTTTAATGCAATCCCATGGCTGGTTGGTTGGCTGGTTGGTTGGATCTATCTATCTATCTGTCTGTCTGTCTGTCTGTCCGTCCATCTATTTGATTTATATGGCTGGTCATCTCATAGACATGACTCTGGACAGTTCACAATACGTTAAAAACTATACAAAGAGCAGTATCAATAGAAACATAAAGAGCCTACAGGCCATTCAGCAAGACACCAACAATGCAACTGGGAAGAACAACCGGGTTCTCCGTCTCACCCAAAGGGCCAAAGTTTCTTCTTTCTTGCACCAGAGCATGGAAGAAGCAGAGGCCGAACAGCATCTTATGCCAGATTTGTTTTTTTTCACAGCTGTTAAAGAAGGTGGGGTCGGAAACTGGGTCATTGAGGTATGAGCGGAGGAGGTTTGCTCGGACTCCTTTGGGTGGCTCATTGGTCATTTTGATCCCATTTTGGAGGATGCTGACAGGAAACTTTTCTGATGGGTAACTAGTCAGCCACAACCTGAGAATTAAGAAGACAAACTGAGTTGCAGCAAAGGAAATTGGAAGCTTCTTCTTTCTATTTCTTTTTATTCTTTCTTTTTGCACTTTTTGCACTTTTTTTCTTTTTTCTTTCTTTCTTTGTTTTCTTTATTCTGTATTCATTTCTGTTCGTTTTTATGTTCTCTTTAAAACTTTTAATAAAATTTATTTTAAAAAAAGACAAATTGAGTTGATGAAACAACTCTTGTGTAGTCTCACAAACTATTTCCATGTTCAAATAAGGGTTAAGTTCTGTTGCAAATAAGTCCTCCCCCCCAAAAAAAAATTAGCTCTGTTTAGTACTTCCATGTTTTCTTTAGCAGGCTAATTTAAAAAAAGAGCTTTTAACTAAACTGGCTGAGGAAGGAGAGACAGCACGGAGAAACAAGTTTTCCTTCCTCCTCTGCTACCAGCACTGAACTCAGACTAGCTTCTCATCCATCTACTTACTCCATGATTTCCCACATGGATGGAATTCCTGATTGCCTTTGGTAACCAGATTAATGATTACATTCAAACTGCAGTAAAACGCTACTGTCTAAAATGCACAAGTCAAAGGTCTGATTCTAATTCAGGATATCAACCAGCAGCCTGATTCTCACTGAAGCCCCAACCGATGCTTTGACTTTACATGAACGTTCGGAAGAATCAATTCTCCTTCAGTAGAGAAAGAACAGGAAGGAAGGTTCCATGCAAAAAGCAAATTAATATGCCTGTGAAAAGTTCTGAATCTGTCGACTAGGTTTCTACTGTATCCATGTCACATGAAGAATAAACTAGATTAAATCCTTGCCTGAATTTGGTATGAGTATTTTCAGGCACGATGATTTCCTCACAGATTTTTTCCAAAGCGGGCATCCAGCTGGTTGCAAGGTGGCAGTTCTGCAACACAACCCAAGTACCGTCACTAATAGCCTGATTGATCATCCTGGCTGCAATCGGGCCTTGTCCTTGTCCCAAAGAAATGGTCTGAATGCTGTCCATCCCAAGATCATCAGCAAACTTCAGCAAACCTAGTAATTAAACGCAATTGTTCTTAATAAATGCATGGGTCATTTTAAAGAGTCAGGACCAATTTTTTTTAAAAATGTGCACACCATCCCCATAAGTAAGGAAAGTGTGAACTTCCAAATGTTGCTGAACTATAACACCCAGCGTCTTCCGCCATTGGCCATGTTGGACAGGGCTGCTGGGAACTGTAGTTCAGTAACATCTTGATGGGTACAAGCTATCCATCCTTGTTGGAGACTGCTGCCTTATTCTGTCCATGAATCCTCAAAGGAAGCAGAATGGTAGTCAAGGATGTTTGTCAGATCCAAGTCAGGAGCTTTTTCTATCAAGCTCTCCTGTTCAATTATGTTCCTGTTAGTCAAATTAACCCTTCCAGGATTTCTTCCTTTGCTAAAATGTGGAGACTCTTTTTTTAGACTTGATTCTGTGTGTATTTTACCTGTAGGAGGTCAAGACTGGTCCTACTATCAGATAGTGAATTAATAATTATTTTATACAGGGAAAGGCCCTTGCGGGATTTTCTGTCCCATGTGTCAAAATAACTTGGCTGGTTTCAGATATTATGCAACTTCACTAAGGTAAGGTAGGCATAATTTGCTATTGAAAAAAAAAATCTTGGGCCAGTAGTAGAATAGATGAAGAACAACCTGATTCAGGAAGTTTTTCTCTCTGGGGATGTCTATCTGGGGCTCAAGGATCTTCCTATCAGTAAGCTAAGATTTTGTTTTGAACCTAGCATTTTCATGGAACCAGCACCTATGGCCATTTTGAGGTAGGGCTGCAGCTTTGGGAAGAGATAACATCGTTTCCTTCAATTTTTCTTTCCACCAACAAAATTTCAATCTCACCTGCCATGGGATCAGCACCTGGGGACAGTATGAAAATCAAAGGGGCACAGCAATTTGAGTCATTGTAGCTTCCAGCTAGATCAAAGGTTGGTGGTTCAATATAGATCCTTCCCATATTCTCTGTGATGAATTGCTGGGTTGCTGGGATAATTTTATCTGGTCGCAAACATCTGAGGACCACCATGCGTTCAAGACCCACCAGCTTACGCCACTCATTAGGGAATTCTTCTTCATGAGGCTTAGCAGAATCATAAATTGCTTTCCATGCCAGGACATTGGACTCAAAATGATCCAGCAAACCAGTTAGGTTTTCTAGGCCAGATGCACGCACTATCTCAGCCCACGATTTGTCACTCAACCACTCTGAGGCAGGGTTGGGGTAAGGGTTCTCCAGGGCCACCCCTCCAGTTAATAAAAAACGCCAGACATCATCATCTATCTGATTGTTCCCTTTCATAATCCCAGTGGTCAGAAGAAGGGAGAAAAGAAGCTTGTCTTTTTCAAACAAGGACCGGCATACATTATTGTAGATGCTTATTGTGAAGTGGTCAATTATGTGTCCAATTCTTTCCTCCAAGACCTCACTTTTTTTACTGTTCGCAAGTGACTGGATGTAAAGGTTAATGAACCATATCAAGGAATACTGGTACATTGGCTCAATGTGGGCCAGATCAGAAATGCAGAAGAAGACAGTTGCTGAATGGACCGCCACGGGTTTGTACCCCATCCGAGTAGCATCAATTTCCATTTCAGTTATGCTGGCAATTTCCTGTTTCTCAGAGATTTCTTCAGACAACTCTTTGGAGGATGAGAGAACTTTAATGGCTGTCTCATCTTCTAAGATGTTTCCTTCTGACTTGGAAAGGACCTCAAGGATCTTATCTTCAATTTCCTTCAGCTGTTTCTTGTTAGCTGCACTCTCAACAATCAGCTTGTTCTTCTTTTCTTCCAGTTCAGGTTTTTCCTTGGCAGCTACAATCCCAAGAAGCTGATCCTGAAGTCCAAGAGGTGTAATCATGAAATTGAGCAGGCAAACCTTCACCGCCACTTCAGGAAGATAATGAGGATTTCTCAAGCGAGTTGTTATGTAAAATCTGAAGTCTCTTGAGAATTCAATAATATTTTCGCCAAGTCTCATATACTCAACTCCCTGCTGCTTGAATGTTGTTTTTAGCAAAACAGGCTCCAAAAAAGCATCCAGTTCCTCACCAATATTTTCAAGTAGGACTGGGGTTCCAAACTGGATAGCATTTTCCAATGACCTTACGTAATTGGTGTCAGATAATTTGATGACAGAGAGTTTATTGCCCTTTTCCATATTTTTGACCCACTTGTTGGCTTGACCTTGAGGATCGATCATTAGGGCCCATCGTCGAGAGTTGGAAACAATGATGCCATTGTCAATTGAAAAGGAATCAATGGGCAATCCTGCAATCTGCCAGGCACGAATCTTGACTGGATCCCCTAAAGTGTTACTCAGGCTGAAATCATTTGAGCATGGAATATTCTCCTCCTTGCATAAGGCCAACCACTTCTGCTGACATTCAAGACGGTAATCGACAGTGAAGGCCCCCAGATAAGCTACTGTACCTGAAGACAGCAAGATATCTCCTGTCAGATCTGTGTACCGGATCCCAAGCAGGCGGGCTGCTTCCGTCCACCTGTTCTTCTCACCTCCTAACCCACTGATCAGTTTTTCAGCTCGTATCAGTTTCTGGGAGCACATTTCAATATTGTCCTCAAGCTCTTTCTTTCGGTTATTCATTTCTTCAAAGTCATCATTCAAAGCTTGGAGACGATCCATCAAAGTCTTGAGTTCCGCTCGCTTTTTATTGAGTTTCTGCATTTGTATATCAAGCAAGCCTTCAGCCTCTTTGAGTCGTTCCCGTTTTGGAGCAACTACCTTCGCAACACGGTCGTAGACTTCCATGGCTCTCACCCACTTACATAAGCCTTCGCAGGCAGAAGAGACGTTTTTTATGACTGCGGGCTGAAAATCTGGATGGTTGATAAACTTCTCTCTAATTCTCTTCATGACCACAGGGGGAATGTTATCTTTGTCATACGTCTTTAAGCCCTCAAGGAATTTCAGATCACCCAGGACCTTTTTGGAGCTTCCCCAATAATCTTCTATCATTTTACCTGCATTTCACAACATAACACATAAACATGCACCCATTTAATATATATGTTAAACAAGTTAGAGAAAGCTTGAATGAGAGCATGAATTCGGGCAGCTCCACTCTGGATCATGTGACTAGGAGGGAGAAGGGGGAAGCTTACAACTGAGCAGTCACCAACTTTCTGAGCAATTGCCCAACTGCCTCTCCCATAGGGGGACCTTTTCATGAAGAGAGAAATATATACACACACACTACAACTTTTGCCAGCTTCTGTTCCCATGCCAAATTGGATCCCACTCTGTTCTGTTTTTGGAGAGTTATCTGCTGCTGGACAAAGCGACACCCAAGCTACTTTACATAATTTCTCTTAGAAATGGAAGCTGGCCAGGTGACTTCCAGCCAGGAACTCTTTCTCAGCCCAACCCACTTCACAGGGTGGTTGGGATAATCAGAGGAGGGAGCTTTAGGTACGCTATCTTGAGTTGTACTAAATAAAGGTGAGCTAGAAATCTAATAAATAAGTTTTGGACTTTCTCTGATATGATGTTTCAGTATCCAATGATTTCTTAAATCGAAGGAGATAATAGGAGATAACTACAACACAAGAGCAGAAAACCTACCACTCAGGAATATTACTCCAGCAGCACAGAAGTTGTCATTATAGGAAATCAACATTGCTATCATTATTTTTATTACCACTTCCAGTCGGATCAGGCTTCCTTTCGGGTTTTATCCCTTTCATGACACAAATGCTTTCCATGACGAGTTTGACGGGCCCTGGCGGATTCTGCATGGATTTGACGAGAGAAATATCCGCAGGGTTCAAGGTATCCAGAGCCGCGAGGGCAGCCTCAAGAGCTGGCATGGCCTCAGCCAGATCCCCCTCACATTCTTCCTGCAATCACATACAGAACCCACCACTCTCAGAAACTGTTCTGCATGCCACACCTTGCGGTCAGCATTGCTTCAGGCTAAGCCAGAATCATCATTAGCAAAACATATATCAAAATATTGGATTTGTAAGTTTCCGAGCTGGTAACTTCGTAGACACACCCATCTAGTTTTCTTATAGAAGTAGTTTGCTATGTCCTTCTTCCAAGAAGGCAGGGCAATACTACTAACCAGGACCAACCTTGCTTAGCTTTTTAAGATCAACTAATGTCAATTAGGTGCTGCCATCTAGCTGTTGTGTGGTTTATAATCCAGAGCTTAATAGTACAGGTAGTCCTCGATAACTGACATTCGTTCAGCAACCATTCAAAGTTACGATGGTGCTAAAAAAGTAGGTTTACAACTGGTCCTCAAAGTTGGGGCTATCGCAGGGTCCCCGTGGTCACACGATCGCAATTCGGGTGCTTGGCAACCAGCGTGTTATGACCTAACAACCATGCAGGATTCACTTAACAACAGCAACCAGAACTGCCACAACTGCCGTCATAAATCAGTGCAGTCATGTGATGTTTCACTTTATGACCGTGTCACCTAGCGATGGAGTTGCTGGTCCCAATTGCAGTCGATAAGTGAGGACTACCTGTATAAGCATCTTGTACAAATTAGCCTGGCTAATTTATTCAGTAAAGGATGGTTAAAGAAACCATGACTTAGTGAAATATGTATCTTCTTCTGGGGAGCCCTGAGGAATATTAAAAATAGTCAGAATAATGAATGGGTGGGTGGGTAGGTAGGTAGGTAGGTAGGGAGAGAGAGAGAGAGAGAGAGAG